TGGATATGAGCTGTGAGAGAAAGAGGAACATCAAGGATGATGCCAGAGGTTTGGGACTGAACAGGTAGAAGAGTGGCATTGTCATCTACTGAGATGGGGACGCGGGAAGGTGAGTGAGTTTGGTAAGTTCAGCCATGTTAAGTCTGAGATGCAATTCGACATCCAAATAGGCAGTAGGATATACGAGTCTGGTTTCGGGGGACAGATATGAGCACCCAGGGAATCATCAGCATATACATGTAAGCTATGAGATGGGGATGAGATCATTAAAGGAGTGAGTGCAGGTAGAAAATAAAACATGTTCAAGGACAAAGCCCTGGGACATATTGATGTTTAGAGGTCAGAGAGATAAGAAATCTCAGCAAAGAAAACTAAGGTAAGGGAGTGTAGCCATCTGGAAGCCAAATGAAAAAGGTGTTGCAAGGAGGACCTGTCAGATACATCAAATCCTGCTGATACATGGAGTATAATCAAGACCAAGAATTAACCAGTGGGTTGGAAATATGGAAGTTGTTGATGACCTTGGTAAGAGTAGCTTGAGTGGAATGCTGTGTAGATTGGAGTGGATTCAAGGAATAATGGTAAGAAAGAAATCAAGATATCAAGAATAAACTCTTTCAAGGAGATTTGTTATGATGGGAAGAATAGAAATGGAGTGGTAATTAGAAAGGAAAGGGAGGCCAAGGTGGGAGTTTAAGATGACGGACATAAGAGCTCGTATAGATGCTGATGGGAGTAATCTAGTACAGGATGGGAATGTGTTGGTATAGGATAGAGAAGAGAAAATTGTGTATTGCAATATCCTTCAGCAGGCAAAAGAGGATGGAATCCAGTGTTTAAGAAGAGGGCTTGACCTTAACAGGAGCACTGATCCGTATCTCATGCCTGATAACAGGGGAAAACATGAGGTACAGGGTAGATGGTGGCAATGAGGAGACTCGCTTGAGGGTGCCTGTGGAAATGTTCTTTGGATTTCTTTCATTTTCTCAATGCAGTTGGAATTAAGGTTATCCACTGAGGACCAGGAGAGAAGTGATGGAGGCTTGAGGAGAAAGATGGTGTAGACTTTTAGAAAACTTACCTAGGAGAAGAGTGGATGGAACTGGAAAATGAGGTATGACTGGTGGGAGGCCTCCAGGCTGACTGAAAAGTGTGGACTGTGACTTTTAGATGAGACCAGTCAGTCCACTCGGTGGCATTTTTTACTTCAGCCACATTCTACTAGGCAGATGCAGGACCATGTTGCATTTCACCAGGGCTATGGTTTAGTTCTTAGTCCAGGGAATTTCAAGAGCAGGATGAAGAGGTTTGAGGTGGAATGCAAGGGAATGGTGGTCATGATTGCCCATGGTTTCCAGGTTGAGTGAGGAAGGAACCAGGCAGAGGTCGAGGACCAGGTCACGGTGTCGGAAGGATCATCTGTGTGTTAATGGAATGGACAAGATTCATGACAGCAGTTCCATAGTGTTGGCGTGGATGACAGTGAGCAGAGCCCAAGACCTTCAGGGAGTTGGAGAAGTGACTAAGGTGCATCGGCCCCTGCAGGAAAGATGGAGCGCAGGATCGGAAGGCATGAGCTTCACAGAGGAGGGATTTCAGAATGGACAGAGGAATGATGGTTTGAAAGTTGGGTAGGAGAACAACAGTGCCTTCCTACATCCCAGCAGAAAATAGCCCCTACTTGAGAGGACTGCAGGCCAAGTGATTCTTCAGGGGAGAGTCAGTTTCCAGTTAGAGTGAGGATGAAGGGGATGTTTCTGGAAGAGGCTAAGGATCTAGGGTGTTTTGCTGGTGACTGGTTAGGAGTTCAACAGAGAGCCAGGGAGCAGTAGAGACTGAGGGATGAGGGAGTTCTAGGCTTCTTTGGTGACTTCTATGGAATTCAAAGTCCCAACCCAGCAAGGTCTCACCTGTGAGCATCCAGCGTCTTCCTGCTCCCAGGCCCTGAGTGTGGCCCCGTTAACGTTCTGGGTTCTCTTGACAAGTAGACAGCATCGTGGCCCCTCCTGTTACAGTTCTCTCTTTGATACCTGGTTTGCATCCAGCCAGAGCAGTGTATTGCTGTGTTCTCACCCTAAGGAAGTCCTCACACCCATGCTGATTGTGGTGGCCTCCCTCACAGTGCTTCAGTGGGGTCTATTGAAGAGGAGAGGTCAGAGAGAAAGCTCCCCCTCCCCCAGCTTAGCCACAGGGAGCAGTGTGGTGACTTGTGTACCAGCTTTAAAAACTTATAGCTGCAGAACTGTACTGTTTTTATTTAATTTAATGCCTTTTATTTTTTTGTAAATATACTTACTTTTTTTATTTCCTTAGAGAAATAACTTTTTAGGGGGGAATCATGAAGAAATGCCATACAATTTAAAAATGTTAAATAAATGAATACATAAGGCTATATTTCATTCTTTCTCATTGCCACATAGTATTCCATTGTGTATATAAACCACAATTTCTTTTTTTTATTTTTTTTATAACTTTGCGTTTATTCTTGTGGGGGAGACAAGAGCATGAGCAGGGAGGGGCAGAGAGGGGAGACCTGGGAATCAGGAGCAGGCTCCAGGCTCTGGAGCCATCAGCCCAGGCCGACAAGGGGCTGAACCCATGGACAGCGAGATCATGACCTGAGCTGAAGTCAGAGGCGTAACCATTGAGCCACCAAGCTAAAATATAATTTCTTTATCCATTCATCAGTTGATGGACATTTAGGCTCTTTCCATAATTTGGTTATTGTTCAAAATGCTGCCACAAACATTGGAATTCCTAAAGTGCCTAGGTATATGGCCTTTTGTAGCAACGTGGATGGAACTGGAGAGTGTTATGTTAAGTAAAATAAGTCATACAGAGAAAGACAGATACCATATGTTTTCACTCTTAAGTGGATCCTGAAAACAACAGAAGACCATGGGGGGGGGAGGGGGAAGGAAAAAAAAAAAAAAGGGAAGGAGCCAAAACATAAGATACTCTTAAAAACTGAGAACAGAGGCAGCCTGGGTGGCGCCAGTGGGATTAAGCGTCCACCAGCGGAGTCCGCGATCTGCATGATCCGGGTGGGCAGCGTCAGGCTCAGGCTGATGGCTCAGAGCCTGGAGCCTGTTCGATTCTGTGTCCCTCTCTCTCCTGCCCCTCCCCGTTCATGCTCTGTCTCTCTCTGTCCCAGAAATAAATAAATGTTGAAAACTTTTTAGTCGCTCAAAAAACTGAGAACAAACTGAGGGTTGGTGGGGGGGTAGGAGGAGGGGAAAGTGGGTGATGGGGGAGGGCACCTGTTGGGATGAGCACTGGGTGTTGTATGGAAACCAATTTGACAATAAATTTCATATTAAAAAAAGAAAAAAGAAAATAATGAATACAGAACCAGAATGCTGAACACTTTTTTTAAAAAGTAAAAGTACATGCTCCTGTAACCTAAAATCATCTCACTTGCCACTTTGGGAAATGAGCAAACCAAATGGCTGAGACTCAAGACTCACTCCTCCCAAAGCTACCCGCATGGGTATTCTCCCCACTATTGCTTCTCCCTTCCTACTGATCCCCTGTGGTTTATATGTGGGAGAGTCAGGTTGAATGACAGTGCTCGAGAAGGGCATTGCTGTAATGTGCAAGATAAGATTTCCCATAAAGGGATAAGACCCATGCGAGGGCCCTGCGGTGGGAAAGAGTATGTGCTTTCAGGGAGTATGCAGGAGTGAAGACACCTAAGGGGGGGCAGGCTTGAAATGAGGCTGCTGCAGGCAGTGGGTTAAAAATTTTAAATTTGGCTCTTTAAAATTAAAAATTAGGGCTCTTTTCTATGGCAGTATGAAACTACCACAGGGTCTTTAGGGGGGTGGAGTGTGTGGAATAAAGCTGCCCTTGCAGTTGTGCAGAGAAGGGATTGGAGGGGGCAAATGTGGATGCAGACAACTGGGAGACCCTGGCAAAGGCCATCTGAGACCCGCTGGCCCAGAGTGAGATGGTGATGATGGTGGAGGATGGAAGGATAGAACTCTAAGAAACGTTTACAAAGCAAAAAGAGCAAGACCTAGTGCTCGTTGGACCTTGGTCACGTTGGTGGGGAGGAGGGGATCAGGTGTGGCTTCAGCATCTGTCTGACAGGGCTTTCTGGATGGTGGCAAAATACACCAGATAAGAACTAGAGACTAGAGAGAGCATGTGGAGTTTGGTTTTAGACAACATGACCTTGAAGTTGCTATGGCGTGACATCTAAAGAATGATGTCTCCAACTCGGGTGCATAGGTCTAGAGCTAGGAAGAAAAGTGGGAACTGTAATAGGAATTTGAGACTTGTTAGCCTGTGATTGTCCAGGCTGGTGGTGTCTACCAGCCTCCCCTTGTCACTGTGATCTTGATTATGTGAGCTGATGTGCCTCAGGACCTTTGCATGTGTACCAGTTAGCACATTCAACAGGAACTATAATTCAACTACCAGTTAAAGATTGGACTGAGAATTCCTCCTCTAAAATGAAGCCAACTATGTTGTATGTTTTTATGCTAAAAATTGAGTTACAGATTTTTTTTCTCATCTTTCTTTGTCCTCTTTCTCCTTCTACCTTCTCTTCCTCCTTTTCCTCCTCCCTTTACTTCTTGGCTTCTCCTTCTCTCATTTTTTCCCATCCTATCCACTATGGTGGCATGTGGGAGCCTGCACTGACATTTTGTATGGGCACAGTGCCATAACAGAAAGGTCACCCTATGGGATTTACTTTCTACCACCCAAGTGCAGAGTAAAGGGACACTTTTTACAAGCCATTAAGAGGTGACTGTCTTTCATTTTACATAGGCACATGCTGCTTATAAACAGATTTAGGAACCAGAGATGCATCCTTAAGTAGAGAACACTTATTATTTATAAGTCTTATTTATGCAGTTAGATTAATGTTTTCAGTTCTGGAGAAATTTCACATGCTAATCACTTTTTGTTAATTTTAAAATTATTTTTTTTTAATTCTAGTCATCTTTTCCCCTCTAATTAATGCTGATTTATTTTGATTTTCCTGGTAATAGATCACTGTCCTAGATGAGACATGGACCGTATTCAGGCGCTACAGTCGCTTTCGAGAAATGCATAAAACATTGAAGTTAAAGTATGCAGAGGTAAGTTATGAAATAATTATCTCCAATTAAGAACATTTATTTTATAAAGTAAATGAGCTGATTGCATTATCATGCTCCCCTCCCTTTAGGTATTAGCTTGTAAGTGTCACCGAGTTTTGTTGCAATTACGCATCTGTCAAAGGTAGCTTTTTAACTTTTGTTCTTTGTTTCATTTCTGTTCTACACAATTTAAACATTTTCTGAACACAGGATTTTGAAAGTGATAGTAAAGTGACAGTAAATGAATTCTACCCTTTTAATACATTTTACCAATTTTAAACAAATATTTTAATAAACTTACAACTTCTTAATGGTAAGATCTACTAAAATGAAACAGTAATAAATCCCTCAATATAGATTTGCCCTTTTTTTCTCTTAAAAAAGATATATCAATGCTTAGACTTCCACTTAATGAGAAATTAGGTCTTTAAGGTTAATTTGCCATCAAACATGGTTGGGAGGTAGATAGTCAATATGGAATTCTCTAGAAGCAAGGGGGTATTTCATACATCTGATCAGATATCCAGAGTGTATTGATACATTATTAATCTTTTCCTCTTTGGGCAAAGACTAGTTTTTAAAATCCTTCTTTTTTTTTTTTTTTTTTTTTTTTTTTTTTTTTTTTTTTTTTTTAGTATTTTTGTTTATTTTTGAGACAGAGAGAGAGCATGAGCAGGGGAGGGGCAGAGAGAGGAGACACAGAATCCGAAGCAGGCTCCAGGCTGTGAGCTGTCAGCACAGAGCCTGACGCGGGGCTCAAACTCATGGACCGTGAGATCGTGACCTGAGCTGAAGTGGGTCGCTTAACTGACTGAGCCACCCAGGTGCCCCTAAAATCCTTCTTAACAAAGAAAAGTATTCTTGAAGTTAATGTGTATCTTCCAAGTGAGCGAGTGAGTGAGGGAGTGTTTTTACTTGAACTAAAGGAAGCCTTGTATCTGCACAACTCTTTGGGAATTTTGGTTTGAACTGACTGCAAATCAGTCAGTAGTCATTGTCTAATATCTGCTCTCACTAAGTATTGCTTTTCGACACTATTTTTATAGTTTCTTATGACAGCCTAGAAAAGAATTTAGTCAGACATTTTCCCCTCACATCAAATAACTAATGCTTCCTTAACCTTTCCATGGCTCTTACTCTTTCCTATCTGATATAAATATAAAGAGAAATTCCTTTTTATAAATAAAAGCTTCCTTGAGTACTGGGAATTGAGGTATCCGAAATTCTCTTGTTAAGCTCTTAGGTAGCAGTGAATTAAAAGCTGAAGAAGTGGCGAATTTGGATTTTAGTTCAGTGTTCCTCAAGAGGCTTCAGTTCCAGAAGTAACTGCATCAAAGTCAAGTTATTGAGTTTGTTTCTGCAATTACTCTTCATGTCCCAAGTTAATATTGACAATAAAAATTGGAAGTATCATGTACATATTACCGTATAGAGTGATTTGTTTTTAAATTGAGCTTTGCAGCCCATTACCTGCTTAATTATAAGTTACTCCACCAGTGCTTTAATAATGTGCAGGTTTTCCCCAATGCTACAAATGTATGTATATCATATCAATTATAATACATGTGTATCATGCATTGCAGGATTTATTTCATATCTGTTCTTTCAGTGCCATTAGTTCAGCGCCATTGTATGTAGGCAGATTTAATACATTCTAGTAATAGAGTGGTGGACAAGAACAAAAATGTCTTCTCTTACGTATCCTGAATTCATATGGGGACACACTGACAATAAACAAGGAAAATATAATAACTAACACTTAACGTACACGCACACTATGTGACAGTTACCATCTTAAGTGAGCTGCATGCCTTCTAGGAAAAATATCCATAAAATGGGCAGAAGATGTTGGGCATTTTAGTATAAAGGTTGTTTCAGGGTTGGGCACTCAGATGCCGAGTCCTGATCAGTGTTCTTAAAGAAAATTTCAAAGCAAACAGAAGCAGTCTTTAAAAACATAATGGAAGAGGGGCGCCTGGGTGGTGCAGTCGGTTAAGCGTCCGACTTCAGCCAGGTCATAATGCCCACGAGGAGGCAGGCTCTGGCTGATGGCTCAGAGCCTGGAGCCTGTTTCTGGTTCTGTGTCTCCCTCTCTCTCTGCCCCTCCCCCGTTCATGCTCTGTCTCTCTCTGTCCCAAAAATAAATAAACGTTGAAAAAAAAAATTAAAAAAAAAAAAAAAAAACATAATGGAGGAAAACACCCCTGAGGTTAAACATGATGTAAGTATGTAAGTGGAAGAGATTGCCTGGTAGCTGGCAACATTAACGAACACAGATTATCACATATGTGATAATCCTTTTCAAGGGCAGAAAGAGTGTACGTACCTGCTGAAAAAAGTTAAGTGAGCTTCGAATGAGGAAAATCAGGCTGGTCTCCTTCATCCAGTCAGTCACAAGTCTGTATTGAACCACCCCACACTGAATACCATTGTCGGCAAGACAGCCACATCCCCTCCTCTCAGGAAGCGGAGAGAATGAACAGTAAACAAACAAACCAACAAATAAGATAGTTTTAGATAATGTTAAGTGCCATGGAGAGAATAAAACAAGGTAGTGTGATCGTGTGGCATGAGAGCTAGGCAGGCCTGGGGAAATCTTAATGTTGAAAAGGAGCCAGGCATGAAAATCTGGGGTAGACACATCTGAAGTAAAGGGAACAGCAAATGCAAAGGCCCTGGGGTGGGACCACGCCTGTTGGCCAAGCATGTTCCAAGAATAAAAAGTCCTGTGAAAAGTGGCAAGTGTGGTAGAGATGAGGACAGGGAGGTAGGGACAGGAAGTAGGGACTGTATCATGTATCACTTGATCACAAGTATTGTGGGAAACCACTGAATGATATTAAAGAAGGTCTGGATGTGGAAACTAAGCTGGAATTTCCATTCTATCCATGTATGACTTCCCATACAAACCTTTTTCCTGAAGGCAGGCTCACGATCTAACTGATAACCAAGATTGGAAATTGCTTTTCCTTGTTTTGAGTCCAACTTGGTGACTTTGCCTTCTTCTGAGGGCAAAAAATGTAAAGAACTTACACATGTATGCGTGTGTTTGAAAGAGAGGAGGTAATGTGAGTAGTGATTTGAAACCATGTGGTGAGATCCTAAAATAAACACCGCCTGTAGAAAGGGAGGTTGTAATTACAAAGCCTGAGGGGGCGCCATTGAGCTTTACAGTAGCCACACTCTGACTGGTTTCCTCACCATTGACTGAGTGCTTCCCATGTCCTGGGTCTTGTGTTATGCTTTTGCCATTCAGGACCCTGTGGTCGGAGCTAGAGACTTGCCTCCTGTCACACACCTGGTGGGCAGAAGCCAGTCTGGAAGCGCAGGCAATTGGGCTCCATTTACTATCTCTAAACAAACAATAGTATAAAAATAGAAATGGGGGGAAAACATTATCTGTAAAAAGGCAGCAGCATGTCATTGTAGCTCTAGATAAATCTTATTTCAGTGAAAGGAGAACGACATTGCCCAGTTAACATTTTCAAGATGAAGCTTAAATGTCAAGTTGAATATCAGCTGTATTTTCTTCCATAAAGTTGATTTTTCTTTTGCGCAGCCTACCTTCACATACTCTTACGTGCTAAGTGTTTGTGGAGACTTGAGATCAATAATGTTCATTAGGTATTCAACAGTTATGATTGCTCTTATCATTGTGCATATTGTTGACGTCTCTGTATATAACGTTAATCTTACTGAAGTAATCATCTATCTCCAAATGGTCTACTTGGCCTGTCGGCATCCTAGAAATCATTTGACTTGTTAAAGATGTAACTTCTTCAGGAAGGCCCAAAGGTTCACATAGAAGGATGCTGAAAATTTCCTCTCACAGATAACTGTTTCATAACCAAGTGGGAACATATTTTATTTACCTCACTCCTTCACCAAATTGGGGTCATTATTTCGATAGAAGTATGAAACTCCTCTTGTTCTTTTAGTTACAAGGGTAACAAGATGGTCGATTATTTTTTTTTTTGTAATGATACATACTAAATTTACCAAGTTATACAAGGTTTCAAATTTTTAATCAAGCTGAAAAATATATTGAAAAAATACCCTTGAATTCAAAAGTACATAGGCTTTGTAATTACTTGCCAAGATGGAGAATCTTTGTTCACCTTGAAACTTTAGTTTGGGTTGTAGCTTATAATCTTTTGGAACTTTGAATTATATCCTGTTCATTCACATTTTCTTCTGGCATTTTAACCCTGTTTTTCCTGGGGGATATACCTCTACAGGAGTTTGATATAACAGTTCTTCTTATGGCTATTTTCTTTTTTCTTTCAGTATTTTTTTTTTTTTTCAGATAATAAGTCACACGTGTATGGTAAAAGATTGAAGTCATTCAAAGAGGTATACATAGAGTGTGAAAGTTTCTCTTAATCTGGCCCTCAGAAGCAATCATTTGCAATGCCCTCAGGAGTTCTTGGGTCCAGCTAAACATTCGTACTTACAGGACTTGCATAGGCCATACCTAGCATTGATTGACCTGAGGAAGGTATAAAAATATCACTGCTTCCAGCAGAGTACCTATAAGAGACCTGCTGAGCTATAAAAGAAACCTCACTCAGAGAAGCCTGAATCTACAACTTCACACCAGATAGCTATCACTTCCCTAGTCTATACAAACAGTTTATCAGCTTATCAAGTGATTGATCATTTTGCCAGGAGCAGTGGTGTCTACTAACAAAGTTGGCGTACCACCTTATCAGATTCGCAGATTCCTCTTCATGGACATAGGGGTAGTTTCCAGATTTTTGCTGCTGTGACCGCTTCTTTGTGGACATTCTTAAAGGTAGCTGCATGACTTCCAATTCACACATGCATACTTCCCTTGTGAAGAAATTGGGTAATTGCTCAACTGTTTTTAAAGACTTAATTTATGAAGAACCAAGATTAGGAAAAGAACACACAAAACTTGGGTTGACTGAGAGCCCCGAGCCTTACCCCCAAGTAGTGGCAAGGTTTTAAGAATTCCTTAACCGTCATTCAGCTACGTC